ATGTGTGTAAATCTGCATTCATATGCAAAAATCTGTCTAAAAGATTATCTGAAATGGATGGTGCATGGAAGAGGAAGTCTTAGCCTGGATATCCACTGGCTACAGCAGATCTTCAGAAAAATGGACGTATAAAGAGAACTGGATGCAGCGTGGGAGGCAAGGCACCGTTCATTCATGTGAACGTTGCTTAGAGGCACATGAAGCAAAAAAGTGCAATTTCCACAGTGTGCAATTACCCAGATCACCTGCATTATACCTGCCAATAAAGCAAGCACACTAGAGACTTGCCAGGATATGTACAGCTTAAGGCAAATTTGAATTCAGAATTAAATTTACTTTTTAAATAACCAAAACTGAGGTAATTAGGCACGAACCAACATCAATGACTCAGGGCTAGAGACAAATGCTCAAATGTTTACTTTGATATAAAACATACCTTTATTGGTGAAGTAAACAAGTTAGACTATCTCCTTCAAATGCTGAAAAAAAACTTTGAATATATTATACTATTATAAATGTATCCATTTGGTTTGCCTTGATAAAAGCTTGTTCATTTGTCATTTGTTTGTTAATGTTGGAGGCTTTTGGTAAATTATTTAAAATAGATATAACCAATTACTTTGAGATTTTACAATGCAACGTCAGAAAAAGAAAAAGACTAATATCCTACGTCCCATGTCTTAGCATTTTATAGACTTCTGAAAAAACTGATTTAAGACTTTTTAATGCCAATGAAGGCTTTATTTTTAGATTAATAAATTCAATGCCTTTAAAGACTTTAAGGCTCTGCAGGAACCCTGCTTACACCAGCCAAGTGGTTAACTTCCAGTTTAGCCCTCCACTATCTTCACTGGGGTAATAATAAATTCATCTAGGGGTTTTCTAGACTTTAGAAATGTTATCAAACCGAACTGACCAATTCCCAACAGTGAAATCAGTCATTTTGCAGTGGTTGTGACCTTAGAAAAAGTTTTCTCCACTGATTTACAAAGGTCTCCTAAACAATGTAGGTCTATGCAGAAAAGTCTGTCTGGGTCCCATGGCATCATTTGGCGAAAAACAGAAGTTGTAATTACACATTTGTAAAATTGACTTCAAAGCTCAAGGCTTTTTCTGAGGGCTCTCATTTCCCCCAGAGGCTTATCATTGTTCAGAGAGAGGATAAACAGAGGCACAGTGACAAGAAATAAATCAAAGGTTAAATCATGATGCAGATTTTCTTCCACATTACTCACACTCTTGAGACAGTGCATCACAGCCACTCACACACCCACACCCACACACACACACACACACACAAAATCCTGGAACACTGCCTTTTTAAAGCCTTTTCACAACTACTTGGGCACTGACACTGCTCCTCTGAAGAAAGCACAGTTTATCTTAACATTACAGCTGCAAAGGAGCTTATTCATGTCTGAACCCATGAGCTGTGTGAGCATAAACTACAAGTAAATGCCATGTTATCATGCAGAAAGAACAACCAGTCCTTAAGGTGTAAACACTAGAAAGTATACACGCTGACTCATATTTGACTGATAAAAAAAATCAACATGTGCCTCAGTGTAAAGATACTGTTTACATGTAAGGACAAAGCCTTGGATAACACATGGGGACGCTTCCCAAAATAAATAATAATATTATAAAAACTTCTATACTTCAGCCTCATATGGAGACTAGAACAGCACAGTTTTGCATTATCCCATGGCTGGAACAGTTAGGAACCACTATAGACTGTTTTGGTGTGAGTTGCAGAGTGTTGGAGATATCGGCTGTAGAGATGTCTGTCTTCTCTCCAGTATAATGTAACTAAATGGCAAACATCTCTACAGCCGATATCTCCAACACTGCAACTCACACTAAAACAATCTAGATCAGTGGTTCCCAACTGGTCCAACCATGGGATCCAGATTTCTTACTTACTCATCAGTTCAAGGTCCACACAGTTTAATATATTCAGCATCATACTTGCGTTTGGCCATGTCTTAGAGCTAGTTTGCTGTCTCTGTCAAGTAGCTGTCTGTTCGTCACATGCTCTGCAGCAGGAAATAGCACTACAAAATGAAACTTCTGTGCTCGAAATGCACTATACTTAAGCTAGGTGCACAACCAAATGCATTGACGGATTGACGCTGACTGGAAATCATTCATTCCAATGGAGGTGAAAATGACGGATAGTAACGGACTAGCGCGCAGAACGCCAGCAGTTCTGTTGACCATCGGACCGTGGAAGCGTTGGATTTTTCCTACTCAGGCGTTGACAACATGGGAGAAATGGAGCGTTACGGTGCCGGAAGTAGGAAATAAATTGCAATAAGCAGTTGTAAACAAACAATATCTCATTTATTTATACAAAAGAAAAATAAGCATAAGCTTTGTTTGCCACTATTAAAAGTGATTGTTGATCATAGGTTGATTTCTATGCAATTGATAATTAATCTATATTTTCGAATTTTGCGCTCATTTCCATAGCCCATTTCACACCTATATATCAGCTCTTTCAGTAGTACACTACTCAACTCGTCTCAGTTCAGTTGGAACAGTGACAGCCAAGTCAATGTCTTTGCAGGAAGATATTGCTAGCTCTTCTGCTAGATGACTTCACTAACAGCTCTCGCCGACAGCACGCTAGGTAGCCGCCCGCATCTGGCCTCTGAACCTAGCGGCATTGTTCTGGGGGTGGGGAATGCGTTGGAGAAATGCTCCGTTAAAACAGGAAAAATAGGTTGTGATTTTTTTTTTTTTTGTGGTCCATTCAGAATGGACCCATGACCCACTTTTGGACTGCGACCCACAAGTTGGGTAACCACTGCTTTTAAAATAATAATAAACCTTATTTCTATAGTGCTTTTCTAAACCAGAGTTACAAAGTGCGTTACAATTCAATTCAATTCATACTTTATTAAAGACACATCTCAAGGAGAGGTCCATAGCACAGAGCAAGACAAACAACATACACACTTTAAAAAAAAAAAGAGATAACAACAATACACAATAACAGTACTATACCACATGAAAAACAATGAAGTAAAAGAACATCAGCCACAGAAAATTTAGGAATTAAACATACATATATATAAAATATAATATATACATAAACTTATTCACATACGACCATACAAACACATATATACTCTTACATACATGCATCCATACATACACGTCTATACGCATACATACACATAAAGGCTTCACATATGTACATAAGCACACAGACACACCTTCAAATCCATACAATGTTATAAATGCCAGTCTGTGCAGGGGGGGGTTAACAATTTCTTAAACTGAGGATCTGACTCAGCTGATTTGATATTAAGGGGGAGTTTATTTCAATAGATTTGGTGCTAAAATAGTAAAAGCATGATCGCCCTTTGTTTTAAGTCTGGACTGTGGGACTTTTAACGACAGCTGGTTCTCTGATCTGAGGGAACCTGGAGCAGGGGGTTGGGAGCTCTGAAATGTAAGGCGGAGCCAGACTGTGTAGGGATATGAAAGTTATTAATAGCACATTAAACTGAATTCTGTACTGAATGGGGAGCCAGTGTAAATCAGCCAGAACTGGGGTGATATGTTCCCTATACATGGAGTATGTGAAAAGCCGTGCTGGTGCATTCTGTGCCAATTGTAAACAGATGGTTAACAGATGCACAGTTTAGACAAGTAAACAGGGAGTTACAATAGTCTAGGTGTGAGAAAATGAGGGAATGGACAAGTTGATCATGTTTTTGGAGAGCACTGACAAATCAGAAATATTGCCAAGGTCAAATCAAACAGGACTGAACAACACTTACAAACTAACACATTAATAATAATGGCAGCATGACACTGACAGCAGCCACTCTGCATTATGAATAACTGAACTTTTGATCCTTTAGGGTACATCTTCTCACGAACACTATTAATTTACATGATGTTTTGCTTGACTTTCGCATGTTAGGAGTAGCCTATTTTTCTAATGTGGCAATGCTTATTTTTGCTCCAGCAAATGATTTGAATACTTCCTTTAAGCCTACAATACAAAGGGTTAACATTATGTAGTAGTAGTAGTAGTATAAACTCCAGGTCCGGTACAAATGCTGCTGGGATGAGCTGTTAACAGAGTACCAACCGAACTTAATGTTAGTAAAGCGGCACTCTACATGTTATAATGTGACAGTCTCATGATATTTTAGGACCAGAAAACACTGTAAATGTCATACAGGCTGTATTGAGTGCATGACATGAACGCTGTGGAATATTATCAACGTTTTACCGTTAGTCGAGGAGAAGATACTCCGAGTACTAAAATAGATCTTCACTTTATACTTCAATTACCACACTTATAAATTAGTTCTGTTAGTTATAATGTTAATATAAAGACACTGTTAAACATAAAGTAACTCACTGGGAGCTGAAGTGTAGCTCTCCTGCTGTAGGACGGTTAGCGGTTGAAGACCCCTGGACAAGGTAGAGGTGGGCGGATCGATACCAAAGTAGCCGACCGCAGATGCTACGTTTACTGACCGATTCCAGCGTCGGGCGGATCGATACCGAAATAAAGCAACAGTTTCTCTCCTCTATGGTTCACCTTTTAATATTTCAGGAGTAAAACTGTCTGTGTAAACAACGTTCAGCTGTCGGGAACACATCTACTACAACTCTGTGCCTTTCCGCTGCTGCTGCTGCTGCTGAGGTGTCGCGTGCATTCGAACAACACACGCGCCCACACGCGCAGCGAACCAATGCGCGCGCCCTCAGCAGTGTCTGTCTGACACCTGCAGTAACTGCAGTCACAGAGGAAAGAAACCAAAGCTCCCCTGACACACACACACACACACACACACACACACACACACACACACACACACACACACACACAGTTACAGAGTCTCCACACATTTCCATGGACAAAATTTCAAAACTTTTCCATGACCTTTCAAGGACCCAAAATAGGGCAGAGTGGGGCACAACCTGACAAATTTTAGTTCTGGCTAAATGTTATGAAACTGAGATTTTTTTTCACATCTCTGCTACCAATAAACAGTTGTTTTTTCTAGAACTTATGCCTGGTTCACACTACACAACATTTCTGTCCATTCTGACAGTCACTTTGTCAGATTAGGCGATTGTGGAATCAATCGTGCCGTGACTTGGCCGACAGACATGACAGACTACACGACGTGTGTGATGTCATCTGGTTACTCTTCTCCTATTTTTGATTATTAGCCCCTTTTCCACCAACATTTACAAGAACTTTTATTGCCAGGAATTTATTTACCTGGGTACAAGAATTCCTGTGTAGTCTGTGTAGTTTGCATTTCCACCGCACCTCAAAGTTCCAGGAAATGTATTCAAATTAGCGTGATGACGTAGTTGATTCAGCGTGTGCCCTATATTTGGCTCCACTGGTGTAGAGAGCTGGGGCTGTTTGTCTCAGCCAGCAGCTATGTTTAAAAGTATTTTAAGATAAGTCAAACTAAGTTAGTCTACATACAGACCGCTGTCATTTGAGCTTATTAGTAGCAATTCACTATCAACCGAACTAGCGTGCTGTCCTTGTGTAAGACAATGTGTTAACTGTATCAAGGCAAACGGCCGGTTTATGACGTAGCCTGTTTCAAATGAATACTGCAGTTGCAGTACATTAAAGCCCCACCCCTATTTTTAATTTATTACTTTATATCCATCTCCATTATGAAGTAGAAACATTGTTTGCTAGCTTGATGCTAATGGCAGTACTCACCTGACTGATATTGTGTAGTGTGTGCCTGGCATTACCTATCTTCTACAACTGACCTTTCACTAAGCCCTGCCCCTTTGTGATGGTCCGTCAAGCTACAACCAACTGCACTCCCTGATAAAATACTATCACAATTTTGGAAAAAGCGAATCCAGAGAGAAGCAGACAGAGGGGTCTACAGAGTCTGTGTTTGAACAATCTGGAAATCCACTGGTTAAAAAAAAAAAAAAAAAGTTTCTTCCTTTACCACTGGAGGCACTGCCCGGTAGTTTTTCGACTAACGGAAGTGCAGGGGCCTCGGTGATCGCTCACCCCCTTCACTTCTGGCGGTGTATATTATTGTTATTATTATTATATGTATTGCTGCTAACGCCCTTTTTTCCTGTCGTAAGAAGTGGAAGGTGTGCTGGTGGATGTACAACACTCGTAAGTTGTGTTGTTGTCCATGTTTTTCGTGACGAGATGCCGTCAAAGACAGCATCTTTGACGGCGTTTTGGGTGGAGCGGTTGCCATGGACGTTGCCGTTTCTGTAGGTACACATTTCCTGAGGACACCTGTGCGTCTTGGCCCCGCCCCCTCCATTGTGATTGGCTGTAGCGCAGCATCGTTCAACCTCAACGCCCCCCAACCTCCCTGCCCCCCTGTAGTTGTCTTTCACACAGGGCTGCCGACAGATTCTACAATGTAAATTGCAGAATCTGTCTTGAGAGATTAGTGTTTGAAGGATATATCCAGGATGTCAAACTGGTTACAGCAGGTTAAAAAGACAAAGATAGCTAGAAGCTAAAGCCGAACTATAGGCTACAGATCTACGAAAAAATTCTGGGGGTGCCACTATACTTAAGTAGTTTCTGGCCATGTTTATTTGGTTATCCGATTGACAGCGCGCTCCTGGTAATCAGCAATTAGCATAAATCCCTGCCCATGAATAGCCAATGACCACCATGTAAGGAGATGTACAGTACAGGCCAAAAGTTTGGACAAACCTTCTCATTCAATGCGTTTTCTTTATTTTCATGACTATTTACATTGTAGATTCTCACTGAAGGCATCAAAACTATGAATGAACACATGTGGAGTTATGTACTTAACAAAAAAAAGGTGAAATAACTGAAAACATGTTTATATTCTAGTTTCTTCAAAATAGCCACCCTTTGCTCTGATTACTGCTTTGCACACTCTTGGCATTCTCTCCATGAGCTTCAAGAGGTAGTCACCTGAAATGGTTT